GTCAAAATTGATTTGTTTTTAATTGTACGACAAATGTCCATATATAGCTCTATTATTGTAGTGTGAATCAATATGAGCTTAATACCATACCCCATTTCAAAACCCATAACTACCCAAATCCAGTCAAAACAGTTTAATAATAATCTTTTTGGCCCCTGGTCAAGTCTGGTAATTAACTAAAGTGGCCCTCTTGCTAAAAAGTTTGCACACCCCTGTTCTAAGTAGGCAAATAATAGTGTTTCATTTGATAACTTTTTACATTGCACTTCCCGTTCTTGTTTTAAGCCAGTCAGAACGTACACAAAATAAGAAAAAAACACATGATTTTAGCAAATTTTACCTCGTATTTTATCATTTTTGCAAGGCAGTTACATTGCGCTCATGCTTGCTTCCATCTTTCCTACACAGACACTCTTTCAAGTTTCAGACTGCAGCTGTACGGAACAAATTTTTAATGACATCGACAGGACACCAAAAGCGAAATTACAGTGATGATGATTCTGCTCAAAGATCTCGTTATACATTTGCGATTTATAGATTCAAAGTTCAGAAAAACAGAGAAAAGACAGCTCCGCCCAAAGGTAAGTTAAGTCAGTCTGCTATGAGACCGTCTTGGCCAAGAATAACAAGGACTACAGTCTCTATACAGTATCTAGTGTTAAAATATAAACAAATCATGGATCATAGATGAATATTGCAATTATGTATATCACTAGAACTGTATAACCACTAGAAAGCATTACAAAGTTTAAAAATCCCGCTATTATCATGGTTTTGGCCATTGAAACTTTCTAACAAATGAACTAAAATATAAGTACTTTAAAGGAGATGTGTTGGGCTGGATTATCAATACATATTTGAAAACATTTTAATCTTAAAATTAAAATAAAAATTAATTAAAATTACATTCAGAAGCCTCACACCGGCGTTGGCTAAAAGTTAAGCAAAAATTGAATCCAAGTGCAAGTCAATACATTGCGATTTTAGTAAAAATCACAAGTAACGATGATCAGTGGAAGATAAAAAATGGGAAAAATTAAAGCAATGGTGTCGTGGATTCAGGAGATGGATATTTCAGAACATATATTTTTCACGCACAGACATTATGGCTGAAGAAAAGGGCCAAAATGAATGCTATTATTGTAGTTTAGTACCAGTAAAACTCAGAGTTGAGTTAAAATCAAACACCACTGCTTTGAACTGGACAAAGTCAACATTTCCAAACAAGGTCTACAGTGTCTCAACTCTCCAACGGAAACTCAGTCATCGGCTAAAACAATACAAATGTTGACAAGACGTTTACTTTGACACATTTTTGTTTGTGGTTTGTCCTTTTTTCACCTCATCAATGAGCTCGAAGCAGATATGTCAAAACACACCCACACTTAAGTCCTGCTGATATTGATTTTATGACAAAGGTAAAGGTCTGGTTTGAAGACGCCATTCTGTGCTTTAGTCTGCTCTACATTTAGAATCTACGCCAACTATCGATCATTATTGTCCATTTTGAGGCCATTAAAGCCGTAGGGCCTGGTTTTCAAAGGAGGACGTACTGTATATATTGAATTATATCCAACGCATTACAGTCCATCATAAACTCTTGAAAAGTGCCGAGTGTATGTATTTTTTTTGCCTCTGTCAAAGATTTAGATGAAAAACTCCCAAATAGCAAATCAGCTTCCAGCCCATTGTGTCAAACAGTGACTCACAGGGCTCTTCCTCACAATTAAAATTTTTGAAGTCAATACTTTCAAATTTCCTACTTGTCTCACAGTCTTCTGAAGAACAAAACAGAGCTTGCCAATTTCTCAAGGAAAAATGAGTGCCCTGGTTATAAGTGCTGGCAGCAAGTTACAGTTAAATTCACTTTTGTTTGGTCTCAAATCGATGATAACATAACATCCATGAGAAACTTGTTTGAATCAGACTACGATACTAAGTTTAACGTTTGCCTCATGAAATTGTTACTGCCCTGTCAGGAATGCTCCAGAGTCTGGTATGAACCAATCTATCTTTCACAAGCTGTATTCACACTGCAGACCTGTGCTTTTGGACACGTATTGAAATGCCATGTCAACAACGGGACAACGGTTGGAAAAGTTGCCGTGCTGTTTGGACCTGAGTCGGCTTTGTTGGGAAAACAGGATCAAAATGAAAGGATCAAAACAAACTGTCTGTCTATTTCTAAAGTCACAGAGCACACAGGACCCCAGACAGATAATTTTCCCAAATGGTATAAGCTTCTCTTGTTGCATTATGTCTCTGTCAACATTTACATTTGATTGTGTGTAGTTTTACAACATTCTTCACCAGGGTAAACTCCAGATTGTCTTAGAAACACGTTAGTTTGTATCTGCCCCTGCTACGGCGAGAATTTCTCATGAGGAATTTGGCCTCTATATGGCCGCTCTTTAAACCGGCTTCTTTCCACATGCGGCTATGGGAGACCTCAGCACTCTGATCTCCGTCTACTCCTTCTACAGTCTATGTCTTGATCACACCTCGACAAGTCGGGTTTAGAGCCAAACCGTTTGGACAAGCCAGCTCATGTTGCTCTGTGTGAGATGGCAGCCATAGAATTGGATGCAAACGGACAATGCTAATGCTGGAGCTCAATGAAGCCCAACAGGAAAGTGCTCATGGATGATGTTTTGCTCCAACTTGCTCTGGCCCCAATGGACTTACAGTGAAAACGAAACTCCTCTAGCTCAGTACATACCATTTTTGGTCTTGAAAATGTGTTGTTTAGAGCGCTCTATGGTTTCATTTTTAAATTGCAATATGAGCCATAATCAGATGCCTTAGCAACCATGTTAGCAATATGTTAGTTTGTATCTGCCCCTGTTCTGTTGTAAAGCTAATCCCATCAGGACAAATGCCCATATAAGGAAACTGGCTCCAGCTCGCTTATTGAAATTAACATCTTCTACATGGGTGACGTCAGCATTCGGTCATTTCACTCCTAACATACAGCCCACGGCAGCAAATCGGAGTTTTTGCTCACCGCTGAGCCTACCTATTCACTTCCAGAGGTTTCTGTCTGGTCGCATGCCTGTTTTTAATTTACTTATTTGACATAATTACAACCTGGAAAATGTTGCAGGTCCTTCCACTCAACTATTGTGTATCTTTCTCTTTATTGAATCTCTGTTCAAACCAAGCGCACAGCCAAAAAGCCTCACTAAGGTGCATCTAATATATGCATGGCACACTGGGGTAGACTTGCATAGTTTTGCCAATGTGGTTTTACTGCAAATGGCAAATAAATTCTTCTATCTTGTATATTAGCCTGGCTGTTACTTACCCCAAGCACTTGATAAAAACATCCTGCTAAAAGTGATCAAGCTCCACAACACATCAATCGTTAACCAGTTTATCAATTTAAACTGGTCCTTAAACTCTTTTTTACTTCCCTTTTCTTCTAAATCCTACCACATGAATACTGTACTTACCAAATCATTTTCTACTTATTTCAGGGGATGGACTTAGTGATAACAGACGGCCATACATTTCAGCCTGATATGGCATTATGTTGAAGCAAATCTTGTCTTTTAGATCAATGAAAACAGTATATTCAAATCAATAAACCACAAGCAAGGATTGCAATGCATATAGTAGTGGACCGTGTTGAGTTTTGTGGACATGATGAAAGTACACTTCTGGATAAGACTGAAAAAAAGCCAAATATTCAATAAGCAAGGGACACATGCACTTCTCCAGCTCTGCTCTGGTAGTCTCAGAGCAATCCTGCGGCGACAAAGCAACGCAACTAAAAGGAAACAGCTCAATGGAAGAATTGAAAAGAACGTGTTACAAAATACGCATTATTTCACACATGGCCTCACATTTTGACACCGTCCTAAACTAATCTCCAAACTCTTTTATTCAGGAAACCCAAAAAACATACAGACATACACACGCACACACACACACACACACTCTCTTGACATAACATTTCCATTGTCCTTCAGAGCTATATCTGTTGAACTGAAGGGGTAGGCCTCTGTACCATAGGTGGCCAGCAGTATGAGGAGAGGATGAGGAGGAGGGAGAAAGTGAAATTTATCAAAACCAATGACTTCCGAACACATGTTATAAATAGGTCTTTTTAAAAAGGATTGAAATGAAAATATATATTACTTTAGCTACATCTTTTTAGTTAAATGAATTGCAAAAACAAATTAATATCTATGAGAAAATGAAGGTGGACAGTCAAACACTCAAACATCATGATATAGTGCAGTGGATGGAGATGGAGATAGATCAGTTTCTGAAACAAAAACCAACAAAATAACATATGGAATCCAGTGAAAATCAGCGATGATTGTCAAATGCAAGAGCTCTGTATGATGCACACTGGTACTTTTGTAAATGTATTCAAATTTGACTGCAAATGGCAAATAAATTGAATCATGAATCTTGTATGAATACAATGAATCAATATAGTTCCACCCCTATGCTCATCACACTAATTTAAGCAAATATCAAATAAGCAATTTTACAATGATTCTACATTAGAACTATCATTTTGTATTATATTAATTGTTCTTAAAAGTAGGGATTTTCCAAATAAATCAATTCAATTCAACGCATTTTAGCATAACCCTTAATCACAACAGCACTTGTCTAGTGTCGGGGGACTTTATAAAGATTCACCAATAACGGATCAGAGAAATAAACCGTTCACCGTGGGTATACTATTCCAACAACGCGTCATTAGTCTAACCACACAATTGGTAATGACTAAGTCTGCTTCATTATTGTCCAACTAACAATTATGAAACTTAAAATAACAAATCCGATATGTCCTTTGCCTTCATGCAAATCCACGTTAAAGTATTCAGAATGCATTAACTCTGATTGGAAATACGTCCAATTAGTCAATACACTTATCTACATCCAGTATCATTTTAATCAACTCCATCTTCCCATCACAACAAACAACACAACACAAACCCCGGAGCACCACTGGCCCCACATATGCGCTCTCTCCCCCTCACCTGCGTCATGAGGCGGTCCGCTCCAGTATCCTCCTCGTCCTTAAAGATGATATCTGTATTATAATTCGGCGTCAGCTCTTTGAACCTGTCTGAACTCCTCGTGATCTTTCCCTCCGGCCTCCCGCTCGCCCCCAGCGTCTTCTCAGCCACGATGGGACTGAAGTGCTTGTAGGCCAGCGGCACCAGCTTCTTGGGGGGCCTCCTCTTCCCGTACGCCCGCCCGGGACCGCAGCTCTCCGCAGCAGGTGCCATGCAGACGACGAGCGCGCCTAGGAGCAGGGAAAGCGCCGAGACCCGCATGGATGGATGGGACTTGGAAAGGGAACGGGGCTCACATGCTGTTTAATAAGATTTCCAATTGAGGCGGCTTTTTTTTGTTGCTTTTACGCACGGGCTTTACGCGCGGGTCAGCTCATGTTGCCTGGTGCGCAAAGCAAAGCGAAGTAAAGTCCACACACCGGCGTAAAATAAACAGGTTCAAAGTTCCAACCGGCGGCGAGGGGAGGGGTGGATTACTGGCTGTGACTGACTGCGCTTTTTCTCTGGAGGTTTCGCTGCTGCTGTTACTGCTGCTGCTGCTGCTGCTACTGCTGCTGCTGCTGCTACTGCTTCCCTGGTGAAGTTTTGAGCGCTCTGCCCGCTATAGTTCAGACCGCACCCTGCTACTATACCAGCCTCTCTCTCCACCCCAGGCCCGGCCCATGAGTGGCAGAGCTGGCAGGGCAGTGGTGGTGGTGGTGGTATTGGTGCGCATGTATATATGTAGACTGGCTGTTACTGACTGACTGACTCAATGAATGAGTTTCCACTTACAGTACAGCAGCGCGCACTCAGGCTCAGAATGTAAACAGCAAGATCGATAGAAATGCTGTTATGTGTGCCCAGTCAGTGTGTGTAGCCAGATGAATGTAAAGGGATGGATCCATGAACAGATAGGAGGGCGAACTACGGCAGCATATTTTTGAGGAATTACTTTTTAAAGATGGTTCTTGTTGTGAACAGGCTTGAATCTCCATAAACCTGACTCTTGCTCGCCTCAGAAGGGGAAATGCTTGTTATCATAGAAATGTTGTTCCCTTGACAGCCTCAGCAGACCTCGAGCCAACATGTGCAGACCTTTTATAACAGAGGGAGGCAACCTGAGTGTCTTCTGCTTCATTTCAATGGCTCCTCTGGTCTTGACAAAACTGACATAATTTCAATGGTTATATTATTCCTATAGGATTGGAACAGTGCACTGTGACGTTCACAAATGCACAATGCCCTGTTGTACACCTGTAATAATAAATTCAATTTAATATTTTTGTTATATGCAATGGCTGTATAATGGGTATGTAAAGTAAACTTTTGAAGTGTTTTGGGTTGTGGTACATGTTGCATCTCCTGATTATTTATCTTTGGCAGAGGAGGAGGAAATGCTTTTTTGATAATAGAGGTTGCTGACCCCTGTTTGATAGCATACAAGGAGGTAATGTTTCCATTGGGGGTTGTCTGTCTGTCTGTCTGTATACATGTTAGTTAGTTTGCAACATAATCCTCCCAGAGTAGAACGAGTGTGTTTGTGAGTGTGACTGTGGGACTACAGATGTAAATTAGCTACAATCTGATGTATTTACAGCTCCTGCTGTTCATTGATACACACTGTCTCGTGCAAATAAACAATTAATATAAATTGTATTTCAAGTCCATTTAGCTGAGCATCAACATCTCGAGATACGTCTCCTGGTGCTGCACTAGTGACCACTGCTCCTTACAGGTTTCGCTGTGGCACTGCAGGATGGCACATGGAATAATACATTGTGGAGGGGATTTTTTATGGAATGGATTGGCGCCTCTTAGCAGAGGTTACTCATTCAATGCATCTTTAAATAGAATGAACATAACACCTGTTTTCAAACATCATTAAAAAGAACAAATACAAATGCAAACATGATAACAGTAGTCTTAACAACTATTAATTAGTGATCAATCGCAATCATCTTTTCTCAGATACATACATCTATACAATATACATTTGTTTTAAGGCAGCACACTGCACTGAATTCACCTGCATGAAACCAATGCTGTTTGTTCTAACCTATTTCATCCATCCATCCATCCATTTTGTTCCCCTTAATCAAGCTCAAATTTAGAAAAAGGAAAGAATCTCAAATTATTGATATAAACATGTCGTCATAATAAAGTGCTGTGTGTTTACATTGTTTCCACTTTCTGAGTAATCAAACCACTTTACATCAATCCACCTCCCCCACATTCAGACGCCAGTGCACACAAACACAAATCCTCTGTGTATACAGCTCCAATGCAGAGGAATCAGCAGGAGTTTTCATTTCTGACCATGACGACTATTGTAAGTAGGTAATCTTTATTTATATGGAGACTTTCACAGGTTTGTGCTTTACAATTTTACAAATGTGATCTATGACCATCTTCCTTGTATTATACAGAGCTGCAGCAAAGGCCTCACTCTGAGGCTTGAGGTGGTGGGACTGTCTAAACTAAGTTACTTCAACGTTTTCTTTGTCATTTAACAGTGTGACATACTCTTAATTGAGTTGTACAAGTTCACGAAGATGAACAACGGAAAAAGATAATCATGGACAGAGTTCGCTTTATTCAATTGCACACAACTGTGACCAATCTCTGTGTGAGGTCTCTTTTGATTTGTTTAATCTTTCTATACAAGTTTGTGTTTTTTAAGAGTGGATGAAGTTTGAATTGTCACCACTGAGGGAGTATAAAGGATCTCTTCATCTAAAGTCAAGCTGTGTCTACACGGGTCATGTTAAAACAGAATAGAGGAAAATTGTATCATCAATTTGATAAGAATACAGCTCTGAAGGTTGCTGTATAGGCGTCCCTCTCATCAGACTTAAGTTTGAATTCACTTCAACTTCAGCGAGATGCAGGGAACTGAATCCATGATTGTTGCTAAAGCACAAAAGACTTATTAGTTTAAGCTCGCCTTCTCATTACGCATGCATGATTGAGAGCTTCTGTAAATTATACTGAATTCTTGCTTTATTCCATGTGTTATTTGAAGGTGTTTTGGGGTCCTTCACGCTGTTACAGCAGCCTCCATCTGACGGCAGAGCGGCTGATAGCTACAGCATTGAACTCCTCGTCTACTAATTATAACCGAGTCTCAGGTCTTTACCCTCAAACCCACAGACCCCAGACCGCCCAGTCCAACTCCCCCCCCCCCCTGCGTTACGACGACAGCTCCGTGTTTCCGAGAACGCGTATGAAAGAAGAACAGTGACAAGTTCTATTTCGGCCTAATGTAAACGTGTTCTAAACCGGCCTGACAGTGGGAGTGTGTCTGCCACGTCCCGTACGCAGACATGAAAGCAACCGCGATCAAAATTACTTTCGGTGTTTGCGATGACATATAAAACCGAGGCGGCCACCCCCAACACCCCCCACCCCCCCCCCCCCCCCCCCACCCCACCCACCCCCCCCCCCCCCACACCCCCCCCCCACACCCAACCCCACCACACACCCCACCCCCACACCCCCACACCCCCCCCCCACCCACACCCCAAAAACCCCCACACCCCCCCCACCACACCACCAACCCCCCACCCCCCACCCCACCCACCACCACCCCCACCCCACCCACCCCCCACCCACCCACCACACAAAACCCACCACACACCCCCCCAACACCAACCCACACCCCCCCACCCCCCCACCCCACCCCCCACACCACCCCCCCCCCCCACCCCCCCCCCCCCACACCAACCACCCAACCCCCCCCACACCCCCACCCCAACACCACCCCCCCACAAACCCCACAACAACACACAAACAACCACAAAAACAACAACCCACCACCCCACAACCCACCCCCCCACCCACAAACCCCCACCCCCCCCCCCACCCCCACCACACCCCCCACCCACACCCCCCCCACACCCCACCCCCCCCCCCCCCCCCCCAACCACCCCCAAACCCCCCCAACCAACAAAACCAACCACCCAACCCACCCCCCCCCCACCCAACCCCCACAACACCCCCACCAAAAAACCCCCCCCCCACCCCCACCCCACCACCACCCCAACACCCCACCACCACACACCACCCCCCCCACCAACCACAACACACCACCACCTCACCCCCCCCACACCCCAAACCCTCAACCAACCACACAAACCCCCAAACACCCAAAACCCCCAACACCCCCACACCCACCACACCCACCCACAAAACCCCCCCCCCCCCCCCCCCCCCACCACCCCCCACACCCACCCCCCCCACTACCCCAACCCCCCCCACCCAACACACAACCCACACACCCCAACAACAACCCCAACACACCACCCAACCCCAACCCACCCCCCCCCCCCCCCCCCACCCCCACAACCACAAACCCCCCCCACACCCCCACAACAACCACCCCCCCCACCCACCACCCCACCCCCACATCCCCACCCCCCCCCCCCCACCCCCCAAAAACCACCCACCACCCTCCCCACCACCCACACCCCACCACCCCCCCCCCCAACCCCCCCCCCCCCCACCAACCCCCCCCAAACCTCCCCCCCCCCCCCCCCCACCCCCCACCCCACCCCCCCCCAACACACCCCCACCCCCCCCCCCCCCCACCCCCCCCCCACCCCCCCCCCACCCACCCCCCCCCCCCCCCCCCAACCCCCCCCCCCCCCAACACCCCCAATAACCCCCAACCACAAACCACCCCCCAACAACCCCCCCCCAACCCCCCCCCCCCCACCCCCCCTCACCACCCACACAAACACCCACACCACCCACCACCCCAACCACCCACCCCCCCCCTACCACCCACCAACAACAACCCACAAACACCCAACCCCCCCCCCCCCCCCCACCCCCACCCCACCACAAACACCCCCACAACCAACCCCACAACACCCCCCCACAAACCCCCCCACCCCCCCCCACCCACACCCCCAACCCCCCCCCCCCCCCACACCCATCACAAAACCCCCACCCCAACCCCCCCCCCCCCCCCCCAAACCCCCCAACCAAACCCCCCCCCCTCCCAACCCCACCACCCCCACAAAAAACCCCCCACACACACAACCACCCTCAACCCAACCCACAACCCCCCCCCCCCACACCACCACCCACCCCAACTCACCCACCCAACCCCACCCCCCCCCCCCCCCCACCCACCCACCAACCCAAAAAATACTATTACAACACACATACTAAAAACACCTATAACCCAACCCACCCCCAATACCCACACCTCCCCCCCCCCCCCAAACCACAACACCCACAACCACCAACCAAACACACCACACCCCACCCCCCACCCACACCCCACCCACACACACACACCCCCCCCACAAAACCACCCCCCACCCAACCCCCCCCCAAACCACAACCCCCCCCCCCACCCACCAACAACCCCCACAACAAACCCCAACAACCCCCACCCCCCCCCCCCACACCCCCAACCCCCCCCCCCCCCACACACAACCCCCCCCCACCCACCCCCCCCCCAAAACCAACCCAACCCCAACCAACACACCACCAACCAACCAACAAAAAACAAAAAAACCCAACCACAACAACCCACCACCACAAAAACCCACCCCCCACCCCCACAACACACACACAAAAACCACATCAACCACAAAATCAAACCCTACCCCATAAACACCAACCCCTACACACACCCACCACCACCACCTCCCCAACCCCCAACACAACAACCCCAACAAACACCACCACCAACACAAAAACACACAACCCAACAAAACACAAACAAAAAACAAATCAAAACCTACAACAACACATTACCACCTACACAACACCCAACCCCAACCTCACACCACACCCACCCCCCACAAAACACCCACCCCCACACCCCACCCACCCCCCCACAACACCCACCCCCCCCCCCAACCCCAATAAACCCAACCCCCCAACCCCACACCCACCCACCCCCCAAACCACCAACCCCCCACCACTCCACAACACACCCACTCACACCCACCCCACCACACAACCAACCACCCCAACACCAACCACCCACACCCCACCCCAACACCCCCCCCCCACCACCCACTCCCAAACACCACACCCCCAAACCCCACCCCCCAACCACACACCCACACCCCCCAACCCCCCCCCCCCCACCCAACCCCCCCCCCCCCCCCCCCACCCACCACCCCACACCCCACCCCCCCACCCCCCCACCCCCAACCCCCCCACACACAACCAAACAACCCCACACCCCCCACCCCCCCCCCACCCCCCCCCCCCCCCCCACCCCCACACCCCCCCACCCCCCCCCCCCCCCACCACACACCCCACACCCCACCCACCCCCCCCCCCCCCCCCCCCACCACCCCACCCACCACCCCCACCCACACCCAAACCCCACCCCTCCCAACCCCCCACCCCCACCCCCCCCTCCCCCCCCCTCCAACACAAACCCACCACCCCCCCCCCCCCCCCCCCCCCACCCCCCCACCCCAACCCCCCCCCACCCCCACCACAACCCACCCCCCCCCCCCCCACCCCCACCCCCCCCCCCCCCTCCCCCCCCCCCCACACCAAATCCACCCTATCCACCCCCCCCCCCACCCCCCCCCACCCCACCAACCATACCCACATCCCCACAACCCCACCCCCCACCCCACCAACCATCCCCACACAAACCCCAACACACACACACACACACAAAACACAACCCACCACACCCCCAAAACCCACCCCCCACTCCACAACACACCACACAACCCCCCCCCCCCCAACACCCCCCACACAACCACACACCCCCCAACACCCCCAAACCCACCCCCCCCCCCACCACACAACCCCCCACCAACCACCCACACACAACAACCAACACCCCCCACACACACAACTCCACACCACACCCCCACCCCCACCACCCCAACCAACAAACCCACCCACCACACCCCCCCCCAACCCCCCCCCCCCAACCCCCCCCCACCCACCCCCCCCCCCCCCCCCACCAAAACCCCACCCCACCCCCACCACCCACCCCACCCACCCACCCCCCCCCCACCCCACCAACAACCCCCACCCAAACCACCCCCACCACCCCCCACCCCCACCACCCCCACCCCAACCCACCCACCCCCACAACAACCCCCACCACCCCAAACACCCCCCCACACCCAACCCCCCCCCCAACCCCCCCCACCACCCCAACCCCCCCTCCACCAAACCACAACACCACCCCCCCACAACCTCCCCCCCCCAACCAAAAACCACCCACAAAACCCCCCCCACCCACCACCCACCAACCACCCCCACCCCCCACAACCCCCCACCACCCCACAACAACCCCCCCACCACACCACACACCCCAATCACAACCAACCACCCCAACCCCCCCCCACACCCACCCCCCCACCACACAACAACCACCCCACCAACAACCCACCACCCCCACCCCCCCCCCAACCAACCACCACCCAACACACCACACCAACCAAAAACACCCCCCCCCCACCCAACACAATAACCACCAACCCAACAAACCCAACCCACCCTCTCCACCCAACCACCACAACCCCCCCCAACACCACACCCCCACCCCCCCCCAAACCCACAACACCAAACCCACCCCCCCACCCAATAACATCCCCCCCCCCCCCCCCACCCCCAAACACCCAACCAACCCCCAACCCCAACCCCCCCCCACCCCCCAAACCCCCCCCCCCCCACCCCCCCAAACACACCCACCCACAAAACACCCACCCACCAACCACCCCCCCCCACCCCCCTAAACAAACCACCAAACCCCCCCCACCACACCCCCACCAAACCCCCACACCCCACCCCACCACACCCACCCCCCCCAACACCCCCAACCCCACACAACCACCCCCAACAAAACCCCCCCCACCCCACCCACACACACCCCACCCCACCAACACACAAACAACCCCACACACACAACACCCCCACACCAAAACCCACCAAACCCCCCAAACCCACACCCCCCCCCCCCACACCCCCACACCACAAAAAAAAAACCCCCCCACACCCCCCCACCCCCCAAACATACCCAACACACCCACCACCCCCCCCCCCCCACCCACCACCAAACCCCCACCCCCACACCACCCCCCCCCAAACCCCCCCCCCCCCAAAAACACACACCAACACCCCCACCCACACCACCCACCCCACCCCCCCCCCACCCAACCCCCCCCCCCACACCCCAACCCCAAACCCCCCCCCACCACACCACCACCAAACCCCCCCAACCCCCCCCCCCACCAACCACACCACACCCCACCACACACCACCCAACCCCCCCCCCCCCCACCCAACACCCCACCAAACACCCCCCCCCACAACCCACCCCCCCACCCCACACCCACACCCCCCACCCCAAACCACCCCACCCCACCCCACACCCCCCCCCCCCACACCCCCCCCCCCCACACACCCCCCCCAAACCCCCACACACAAACCCCACACCACACCCACCCACACCACACACACCACCAACCCCCCACCACCCACCCCCCCCCCCCCCCACACAACCACACAAAACAACCCACCAACCCCAAAACAAACACCACCAACCACCAAACAACCCCCCCCCACCCACCCCACAACCCCCCCCCCCCACAACCCCCCCCCCACACCCCACCTACCACCCCAACCAACCCCCCCCCCCCCACCCCCCCCCACACCACCCCCCCCCCCCCCCCACCACCACCACCACAAACCCCCAAAACACCCCACCCCCCACCCCCCCCCCCACCCCACCCCCCCCCCCCCACCCACACAAACCCACCCCCCCCCCACCACCCCCACCCCACCACCCCCCCCCCCCACCACCCACACACACCCCCCACACCCCAAACCCCCCCCCCCCCCCACCACCCCCCCCCCCCCCCCACCCCCCACCCCCCCACCCCACCACCCCCCCCCACACCACCCCCCCCCCAACCCCCCCACTCACCAACCCCCACACCCAACACCACCCCACCCCCCCCCCCCAACCATACCCCCCCCCACCACCCCCCCCCCCAACCCCACCCACCCACCCACCCCACCCCCCCACCCCACCACACCACCACCCACCCCACACAACCCACATCACCAACCCACCCCCCCCCCCCCCCCACCCACCCCCCCAACCCACACCCTACCCACCCCCCACCCCCACCACCCCCCAAACCACAACCAACCCACCAACACACCCAACCACACAACCCACCAAACCCCAACCCCACCCAACCCCCCCCACCCACCCACCCCCCCCACACACCCAACCACACCCCCCCCCCCCAACCCAACCCCACCACCCCAACCCACCCCCCCCCCCCACCCACACACACCCCCCCCCCCCAAACCCCACCACCCACCCCACCACCACCACCCCACCCACCAAAACCCCCCACAAACCAACCCCCCAAACCCCCCCCAACTCCCCCCCACAACCCCAAACACCCACCCACCCACCCCCCCCCCCCACCCCACACAACCCCCCACCCACAAACCCAACACCACACAACCCACACCACCACCACAAACACCAAACCCAACCCTCCAACCCCACCACCCAACCCCACCCCCACAACACCCCACCACCCCCATCCCACACCCCAAACCACCACCCCACCCCACCAACCCAACCCCCACACCCCACCCCCCACCACCCCACCCCCAACCCACCCCCACACCACACCACAACCCAAACCCCACCCCCACCTCACCCCCACACCCCCCACCCCCACCCCACCCTCCCCACCACCCACCCACCAACCATCCACCCCACCCCCCAACCCCAACCCCAACCCCCCAACACAACCACACCCACCCCCCACCCAAAAAACACCTCCCACCCCCCCCCCCCCCCACCAACAACCCCAACACCCCACCCACCACACCCCCCCCCACACCCCCACAAACAACCAACACCCACCCCCCCACCCCACCCCCCCCCCAACCCCAACCACAACCCCCCCCCCCCCCACACCCCCCCCCCCCCCACCCCACCCCCCCCTACCACCCCCACCCCCAAACACCCCCCCCACAAACCCAAAATCACCCACACCCCACCACAACCCCCCACCCCCAAACCCCCCCCCCCCCCCACCCCCCAACACACCCCCCACCACCCCCCCCCCACCCCCACACCCCCACCCCCCCCACCCCAACCCCCCACCCCCCCCCCCCCAACCCCCCCCCCCCCCCCCCCCCACCCCCCCCACCCACCCCCCCCCCCCCCCCCCCCCCCCCCCCCAAACCAACCCACACACCCCCAAAACCCCCCCCACAACCCAAACCCCACCACCACCCCCCACACCCCCACCCCCCCACCCCCACCCCCCCCCACCCCCCCCCCCCACCAACCCACAACCCCCACACAACAAACACACCCACAAACCAACCACCACCCCCCAAACCCCAACCCCCCCACCCCCCCCCCCACCAAACCCCACACCCCACCACCCAACCCACCCAACACCCCCAAAAAACCCACCACCCCCCCCAACCCCCACCCCCAACCCCCCCCACCCCACCCAAAACCCCCCCCACCCCCCCCCCAACCCCCACACCCCCCCCCCCCCCCCCCCCCACCCCAAACCCCCCCCCCCCCACCCCACCCCCCCCCCCCCCCCACCCCCCCCCCACCCCACACCCCCCACCACCCACCAAAACCAACCCCCAACCCCAACAACCACCCACCCACAAACAACCACAACAACAAACAACCCACACCCCCCCCCCCCCACCAACCCCCCACCCCCCAACCCCCCCCCAACCCACCCCACCCCCCCCCACCCCCCCCCCCACCCCCCCCACCCACCCCACCCCCCCCCCCCCCCCCACACCCCCCACAACAACCACCCCCCCCCCCACCCCAACACACAAAACAACCAACACCAACCCCACCCCCCCCCCCCCCCCCCCCCCCAACCCACACCCCCAACACCCACCCCCACCACACCACCCACACCAACCCCCCCACCCCACCCCCCCCACCCACCCCAACCCCCCCCCCACCCCCAACCCCCCCACCACCCCCCCACCCCCCCACCCCCACCCCCCCCCCCACCCCCCCCACCCCCCCCCCCACCCCCCCCACCCCCCCCCACCCCCCCCCCCCCACCCCCCCACCAAACACCCCCCCCCCCCCCCCCCCCCCCCCACCCCACCCCCCCCCCCCCCACCCACCACACAAAAACCCCCCCCACCCCCCCCAACACCCAACCCCCCCACCCCACATACCCCCCCCCCCCCCACACCACCCACCCCCCCCCCCCACCACCCAACAACCCCCCCCCCACCCCCCCCCCCCACCCCCCCCCCCCCCCCCACCCACCCCACCCCACCCCCACCCCACCCCACCAACCCCCCCACCAACCCACCCCCCCCACCCCCCCCCCACCCACCCCCCCCCCCCCCCCCCCCCCCCCCCCCCCCCCCCCCCCAACACCAAACCCCCCCAACCCCCTCCCCCCAACACCACAAAACCACCACCACCACCCCCCACACCCCCACACACCCCCCAACACCCCACCCCCCACCCACCACCAACACCCCCCCCCAAACCACCAACCCCCACCCCAACAACCACACCACCAACAATCCACCCCAAAAAACCACACCAAACCCAACACCACCAACAACACACCCCACCACACAAAACAACACACACCACCCAACACCACCAACCAACCAACCCAACCCAAACCAAAACCCCACACCCCCACCACCCCCCACAAACCCCCCCACCACCCAAAACCCCAAAAACCACCACAACACACACCACCAACCACCCCACCCCCCAACCCCACCCCCCCCCCAACCCCCCACCCAAAAACAAAACAAAACAACCCCCAAACAAACCACCACCACCCCCCCAACAACCCACCACACACCCCACACACACACACCCCACACACAAACCCACCCAACACCACCCCAAACCAACCCACCCCCACACCACCCCCCCACCCCCCCCCAAAACAACAACACAAAACAAACCACAACAACCAACAACAACAAACCCAACAACCACCCCCCCACCACAACACCCCACCACAACCCCCACCCAACCCCCCCCCACCCAAAACCCCACCACCCACCCCCCCCACACCACCCACCCACACACACCAAACACACACACAACACCCCAAACCTACCCCCACCCTCCCAACAAAACCCCCCCCCCAACACCCCCCCACAACCCCCCACCCCACAACCCCACCACACCCTACCACCCCCCCACCCCCCACCCAATCACCAAAACCCACACCACACCCCACCCAACAAACCCCACTCAACCCCCCAACCCACACCCACACCACCACCAACCCAAAACAACCAACACTCCCCACCCCCCCCCCAACCCAACCCACCCCCCCAACCCCAACCCCAAACACACCCCCCCCCAAACAACCACACCAACACACCCCCCCCACCCCCAAACCACCCCCACCCCCCCCCACCCCCCCCCCCCCCCCCACCAACCATCCAAACCAACACCCAAACCACCCCCCACCAACCACCACTCAAAATTACAAAAACCCCACACACACACCACCCACAAACCAAACTATCAACCCAACAACAAACCCCACACAACCACACCACCCTCCCACACCCCTACAAACCAAACCCCCAATATATAAACCCCATACAAACACCAACCCCACACCCCACCAACCCCCCCACACAACACACCACACAATAACACCACACAAACAACAAACCACCACCCCCCACCACCCAACCACCCCCCACCACACCCCACCCCCCCCCCCAACAACACCCCCCCCCCAACCCCCCCCCCCCAAACCCCCCCCAACCACCCTATACACCCCCCCCCCCCCACTCCACCCAGCAACTCCCCACAAACCCCCACCCCCCCCAACCCCACCAACAACCAAACAACCAACCCCCCCCCCACAACAACCCCCCCCCACCCCCCCCCAACCAACCCAAACCCCAACAACCCCCCCCCACCCCCCCCCACCCAACCCCCCCCACCCCCCCCCCCCCCCCCCCACCCCCCCCCACCCCCACCCACCACACCCCCCCCCCCCACACCCCCCCCCACCCCCCCCCCCCCACCCCCCCCCCCCCACCCCCCCAACACCCACCACCCCACCACCCCAACCCACCCCCCCCCCCCCCCCCCCCCCCCCACCCCCCCCCACCCCCCAACCCCAACCACCCCCCCCCCACCCCCCCCCCCACACCCCCCCCACACACACACCCACCCCCCAACCCCCCCCCCCCCCCCCCCCCCCACACCCACACCCCCCCCCCACCCCCACCACACAACACAAACCCCCCCCACCAACCCCCACCACCAACCCCCCCCCCCCCCAACCCCCCAACCCCCACCCCCCCCCCCACAACCCCACCCCCCCACCCCCCACACACCACCCACCCCCCACAACCACAACAACAAACCACCCCCCACCCCCCCCACCCCCCCACCCCCCCACACACCCCCCCACACACCCACCCACCACCACCCCACCCACCCCCCCAACACACCACCCCCCCCCCCACCCACACCCCACACACAACCCCCCACCCCACCCCCCCCCCCCCCCAACCCACACCCCCCCAACAAACCACCCACCCAAAAAAACCACCCCCCAACCCCCCCCCCACCACAACACCAAACCCACCCCCCCACCAAAACCCCACCCCCCCCCCCCCCCACCCACCACAACCACACCAAACCCCCCACCCCACCCACCCCCCCCCCAACACCAAAACCCACCCAAACCCACCACCCACCCCCCACCCCCACCCCCACACCCCCCCACACCACCACAACCCACCCCCCCCCACCCACCCCCCCAACACCCCCACCAACACCCCAAAACCCCACACCCCACACCCCAAACACAAACACCACCCACCCACCCAACCCCCCCCCACACCCAACCCCCCCCCAACACACCCCACAACCACACACCACCCACACAACCCACCACCACCCAACCCCACCCCCCCACCCACCCCACACCCCCCAAAACACAAACACAACACCAACACCACACCCACCACCAACCCCCCCCCCAACACACCCACCACACCCCCCCAACCAAAAAACCCCCCCCCCCCCCACCACCACCACCAACACCACCCACACACCCCCCTCCCCACCACCCACCCCACCCCCCCACAAAAAACCACCCCCACAACAAACAACAAAACCCCCACAAAAAAACCCCACCACACCCCCCAACCCCCACCCCACCCAACCCCCCCCAACAACCCAAACCCCAACACACACACCCACAAAAAAAAAAAACAACAACACAAAAAACCAAAAACCACAAACCACAAACCCACACACCAAAAACCCCCCCCCACAAAACACCCCCCACCCCACCACCCCCCCCCCAACCAACACCAAAACACACCCCAACCACCAACCCCCCCCCCCCCAACCCCCCCACCCCACCCCCACCCCCCCCCCACCACCCCCCCACCAACCCAACCAACACCCCCCCCCCCACCCCAACACCCCACCCCCCGACCCCAACCCAACCCACACCACCACCACACAAAAAAAAAAAAAAAAAAAAAAAAAAAAAAAAACAAAAAAAAAAAAAAAAAACCCCCCCCCACCACCAACAACAAACACCCACCCACACCACCCCCCCCCCCACCACCCCCCCACCCCCCACCCCCCAACACACCCACCACCCCCACCACACACCCCCCCACCCACAACACCCCCCCCCCCCCCCCCCCCACCACCCACCCCCCCCCCCCCAACCCCCACACCCAACCCCACCACACACCCACCCCCAACCCACCACCCCCACCCACCCACCCCAACCCCACCCCCCCCCCAACCACACCCCCACCCCCACCCACCACCACCCCCCCCCACCCAACCACCCCACCACACAAACCCACACAACCACCCCCAACCACCAACCACCCCCCACCCCCCCACCACCACACACCCCCCCCCCCACCCCCCCCCCCCCACACCCAACCCCCCACCTCCCACACCCCCCCAACACACCCCAA